CAACGGGAAGAGCCGACTAATAAGCGACGTGAAATTTTTGCAGGAGTGGAGATTCCATCATATAAGCGTACAAAGTAAGCCCATTGTAATTTTTAAAAACTATCTATTAGCATTCTTAACGTATATAAATATCCTTGAACCCGCGAACAGTTCTGCATTGCAATGTGGTGAAATTCATATACGGAACTTGGCCATCGGGATATTCTTCCAGCCATGCAACGATCTTTGTTTCTAAACTAAGTCCACATCGTACTTTAATACCATTGGACAATGTTGCAAAAATATACTCTTTGTTGTGATACATATCCATTGCAATTGCTATGACTGTATAGCTGGTATTTATTTCAAGTACATTATATCCAGCTTTATATGTTGCTTTGTGGATAGCTCTATCATGGACTTGTATAAAATTCTCACCATTCATGTTTTCTAGATGAATATCAACAATTGGTGGTGCACCTTTGCGGATTCTTCTCTCAGGCCATTGGATCTTTACATTATCTACCTCCACTATACCCATATCCTCGAATTGTAAAACATCATCATCGTAAATGTATGGGTACATGCCTTTATGTGCTCCTGCAACAAGTGTTATTGCTGTACATTCGTCAGGCCGTTTGTACTTGGTAACTGTAATATCCTTGATGCTATTCTCATCCATCTCAACCTCCAAAAAGTATATTGGTCTATCGTTGAAGCTATAGTTGGCTAACAATGTCATTGCTTCCTCTTTCTCGACATTGTTACGATATGAACCATACTTCTTACCTGTAACAGAGTTCCACCAATGGCAATATGCGAATGCCGATTTTTCACCCATTGTTACATGAATACCTACCATGGATGATATATTGCCAACTATGTACTTCCAATATGCCTTGTATTTTACGCAGAACGTGGGACATTCTTGGATCTCTTCCTTTATGGCATCCAAAACTCCTTTATAATAGGAGAATGTATATATCTCCTGTCCATAAAAGGTAATTTCAAGTCTTGTTAGACCTGTTTTCTTCGCCTTTCGAAGTCTCTTATGTAGGTCCTTATCCACATCCATAACAAAATTCTCCATTCTTGAACCCAACGACATTTTTACTTCAGCACTCTCCAACATCTGTACAAGTTTGTTATAAACCTTACAACGGACCTTTTGGTCTTTTTCGGTGACTCCAAACCAAGAGAGACAGTGGTTACCAACCTTATGGAGATCGTTGGCAATATCCAAATCTTCTCCAAATCTCTCTTGAAGGTATTGCTGAAGAATTGGACGGCTTGTAACATATCTACAATCCGTAGCAATGTCTATATCATGGAGGATAATATAGTCAACCTCAAGCTCATGAAATATTGGTGGTAACTCGGAAATTAAAGAGATGGCCTCCAGTTCATTGAGCGTTACCTTAATGCTGAAATATCCTGCATGGTATAAGGCCGAACTTCTAAACTTTTTTCTATGTTTTCGTAGCATTTCAGAGCTAAAAAAACTATTGGGTTTGATATAACCCTCGTTAACAACTTTAACCATGGAGTGGCTAATATCAAGGTCTTTAAAAGCTTCGCAAATATTGGCAGTGGTGTTCTTGCGTTGCTCGTCAACAAGGTCAGCCCGGTTGTGCAATCCCCAGAGTATTAAACTATCGCAGAATATCTCTGAGTACTTTTTCCAGCCAGTCTTTGGTTTGCCAGGCAATGCAATCTCTTTGCCCACATCAGAGATAAGATGGGCATATGAGTTCAGCGCCTTGTTAATGGATTTAGGTATAGCGGACATGTTGAATAGCTTACTGTTTGCAGAGATATGTACTACAAACTTTTTAAAAACCACTTTACTCTGAAGCAAATTTTCGGTGTGCTGACCATGATAATGCACCAATTGTATGCATATGTTTTTGTAAATCTGGTGCAAAAAAGTCTACTAATCCCCACAGTTCTTCCTTTGACATACCATTTAAGTTCTTGCTGAGACTTACCACGTAACAAAACAGCTCTCAAGTACATTGCCATTGTAGGATGCATATGATGCTCATGTATATAAATGGCTATTATTTGCTTAATTTCTTTAAGTGTTGGCATTGCATAACTAGTAAACCATTAGGAAGAATGCCTATACTACAATACACTTTTAGATTTGTTGCACTATAAAAGAAGTTATCTCATATTCCATGATAGATTGGATAGAAATATAATGCATATATCATCTATTTCAAGAGAATTTAAACGTAAACTATTAGCAAAAATTCCTTTATATAACACACTTTTGGATTTTTTAAAACTATTAACGATAAACACGATAGGGGAACAAGCCCCTCAGCCAGATGTCAAAGAACTTCATCATGGCGGTTTTACGACAACTTTTTTGTAACCACCAATTTTCTTTCCACCACCAAATTATACAAACGATATTTTATGGACATTTCCTAAGTCTACATAACTTTTTTTTATACAACTTCTTTTTTCTATCTTGTTATCATACAAAATGCGATAGAAATGTCACAATGTTAATACCCATTTGCATCACGAAATATGTGATACGTTTTAAGAAACGTCCATTTTAAACGACATAATTACTCTGTTAACAACACATTTTCTCTACCTTATTATCAGACAAAATGCGATAGAAACGCCACGATGTTTATATCCATTTGCATCACGAAATATGTGATACGTTTTAAGAAACGTCTATTTTAAACGACATAACTATTCTGTTAACAACTTCTTTTTTCTGTCTTGTTATCACACAAAATGCGATAGAAATGTCACAATGTTCATACCCATTTGCATCACGAAATATGTGATACGTTTTAAGAAATGTCCATTTTAAACGACATAATTACTCTGTTAACAACACATTTTCTCTACCTTATTATCACACAAAATGCGATAGAAATGTCACAATGTTAATACCCATTTGCATCACGAAATATGTGATACGTTTTAAGAAACGTCCATTTTAAACGACATAATTACTCTGTTAACAACACATTTTCTCTACCTTATTATCAGACAAAATGCGATAGAAACGCCACGATGTTTATATCCATTTGCATCACGAAATATGTGATACGTTTTAAGAAACGTCTATTTTAAACGACATAACTATTCTGTTAACAACTTCTTTTTTCTGTCTTGTTATCACACAAAATGCGATAGAAATGTCACAATGTTCATACCCATTTGCATCACGAAATATGTGATACGTTTTAAGAAATGTCCATTTTAAACGACATAATTACTCTGTTAACAACACATTTTCTCTACCTTATTATCACACAAAATGCGATAGAAATGTCACAATGTTAATACCCATTTGCATCACGAAATATGTGATAAGTTTTAAGAAACGTCTATTTTAAACGACATAATTACTCTGTTAACAACACATTTTTTCTCTCTTGTTATCACACAAAATGCGATAGAAATGTCACAATGTTCATACCCATTTGCATCACGAAATATGTGATACGTTTTAAGAAACGTCCATTTTAAACGACATAATTACTCTGTTAACAACACATTTTTTCTGTCTTGTTATCATACAAAATGCGATAGAAACGCCACAATATTCATACCCATTTGCATCACGAAATATGTAATGTGTTTTAAGAAACGTCTATTTTTAACGACATAATTGCTTTGTTAACAACACATTTTTTCTATCTTGTTATCACACAAAATGCGATAGAAATGTCACAATGTTCATACCCATTTGCATCACGAAATATGTGATACGTTTTAAGAAACGTCTATTTTAAACGACATAATTACTCTGTTAACAATACATTTTTCTGTCTTGTTATTATACAAAATGCGATAGAAATGTTACAATGTTCATACCCATTTGCATCACGAAATATATGATGTGTTTTAAGAAACGTCTATTTTTAACGACATAATTACTCTATTAACAACACATTTTTTCTATCTTGTTATCACACAAAATGCAATAGAAACGTTGTAATATAATAGCCATTTGCATTATAAAATATGTGATGTGTTTTAAGAAACGTCTATTTTAAACGATATAATTGTTATATCTACAACTACCCACAATGCATGGTCTAATTGCGATATCTCTGTTTTTACCATTGTCGTAATTACCTACAATCTGTATAACAATAAATGCTATAACAATTGTAAGTTAACCAAAGTGTAATAATATTAAACGTCGTGCAAATCGTGGGCTTACCTAAAGTATGTCAACATTAAACATTGTAATACTTACGAGTTTATCAAGAATGTATTAAAATTAAACATCACGATAATCACGAGGTCATCCAAAATGCGTTCATATCAAATATCATAACTATGGTAATAACTACAGTTTGTCAGCTGTCGAATCGAATGCCGAATGTCAAATGTCGAATGTCGAATATTGTTGAGAAAGTGTAGCAATAACGCCATTAAAAACGTATCATCTACCCTTTCTTTCCAACAACCAATGTTTGTTAAAGCCACTATGCTACTTTTAAAAAAATCGTGATCCAACTTTTTTTTAAAACTACCACTACATCATCACCAGTATCACGAGTGCTATATTGGATATACACATAGGATATATCATGAAAAGGAGATATTAGTAACCATCGCTAATTATATAAACACGAAAACAAATGCTCTACTAGGAGGCCATCCATGTTCGGCTCCACCAACCATAGACTACAGTATAAAAATATCTGTCAACACCTATTAAAACAGTGTGTTCCTTGAGAGTACAACAAATCTCATCAGCTTTTTCCTTCCACCAGTCTCCATTTTCTACATTCACCACCACTACTTTGTAACATCATCTACTTTAGCTGAGAAAGCCTTGGACATGATCATCTCATATTGGATCCTGGATATTACAGATAGTAATTTCCTTTCCAATATGAGATGATCATGTCCAAGGCTTTCTCAGCTAAAGTAGATGATGTTACAAAGTAGTGGTGGTGAATGTAGAAAATGGAGACTGGTGGAAGGAAAAAGCTGATGAGATTTGTTGTACTCTCAAGGAACACACTGTTTTAATAGGTGTTGACAGATATTTTTATACTGTAGTCTATGGTTGGTGGAGCCGAACATGGATGCCTCCTAAGTTGACGGAGTTGGGTTTCTGCTAGGACGTGAGCATTGGAGACTCCAAAGTTCTTACTCATAAGAGCAAAGAACTGATCCAGGTTAGAAATACATGCGGGTCTCTCCTCGACAGGCAACTTGAAGGACGGAACGTATCTCTGCATGTACTTGAACGCTGCAGTATCACCGAGGCGCGAGATAGCCAGCACAATGCGGTCGTGGTCGTTCGGATAGAGGGTCTCGTTTGCAACGAAGAAGAGTTCCAGCTGAGCCTGAAACCCTTTCCAATCTTCACGCTTGCCGGAGAAGACTGCGGGGGGTGCTACTTTTGGCCTCGAAGGGGAGCTATTGCTGGAGTGAGGTGTAGTTGATTGGAAGATGGCACTCACTGTGTTGGTGACATCGGTCTTGTGATCATAAAATAGTTTGCCTAGTTCTGCGCGAGTGATGGGTGGTAATTGTGACGTCATCTTCTGGACGTTGGATTCGAGGCTGAGTAATCGAGGGTTGAGGTTGACGGTCAGGCTTGTGAAGAAATCTTCGTTCGAAAGAATGAAGTCCAGCATATCACGGTACTTCTGAACAGTCTCCTCGAGTTCGGTGACTTTGGCTTGCAAGGGAGTGACCGTCTGAACTATTTGTTCAAGTGTGGCTACTCGGTCCATCAGTGCTTGGAAGCGCGCGTTGGCTGTAAGGATCTCACTATCGGGTAGCATTGTAGTTGATACGGAAAGTGAAGAGTTGTTGTAGTTTCTGAGGGTTGTGGGTTGTGTACGGAAGATGGTAGTAAAAGAGGAAAGAACTTGAAGAAGATAGGGTTTGGTTTTGTTGTGGAAAAGGCTTTTTTTTTTTTTTTTTTTTTTTTTTTGAGCGCTGAAGTATATCAATAGAAAACAGACAAAGTTTGATCCAAGGTTCTTTAGGTGTATGACTTGGTATTGTCAAGAAAGCAGACCAAGCAATAGAATGAAGTAGATAAAGAGAACCTTGATCAAGGACTAAGAAATGAGTATAAGGAATAGGTTAAAGAGTATGTTGTATTGGCGATACCAAGTAAAGAGCTATAGATTTGCTATCTAAGGCCCTTTTATACTCGTTAGGGCGAAGTCACAAGAGCAAGCTCTTGTCTCGTGACAGGAAGATCGCCCAATAAAGAAGATATAACACTCTGGAAAATACTTGGCATTGTTTTCAAGCCAAAAGGTGCGCCTTAAAAGGCATACTGCACATTTCTCCAAGTGAAAGCCGTCTTATGAATTGGGAGTCGTCTTGGATTCCAATAGTTATATATGTCAAGGGATACTAAAGGTAGTTGTAAGGATAGGTAAAGGCATTGGTGGAATGAGGTTTTAAAAAGATCACCAATACAATTACAAAGGGTAGATATATGGAAGCATAATATCCAATATAGACGTAGATATTTAGGAGTATTAGAAAAACAAAACGTGGTGAGAGAGGAGCAACATGAACGTATTTTACATGTCGGTAATCGAGGAGAAAAAAGGGGGGGGGGGAGCTTTTGTTTGGTCGAGGGCCTTACCCCCCATTATCTCGACGTTTGTTAAGCTATGCCCACCTTTTTAAAACACCTATGTTTATATTACACATACAGCATTTATACGTATGTGTCCACCGTAAATGCCATGCATAAACATGATGATGATAATGGTGCCACTTCGGTGGATAGTGTATGATTTTCCTGGGAATATTCCCCTTAATACTTCACATGGAAGGTGTCTGCAATAAGAGTTTATTCTGATATCTCGATAATATTGGCGCTATCTAATTCTTCCTCTTGATTTACCTTGAGACTAGTTACAAATCCTTCGATCAAGGCATTTAATATATAAATCTCCTTCTTCTGCTGGGAAATAATGTGGTTCATCTCATCCATTCCTTTCTCCAATTTTCTAATACATTTCTTTAACTTCTTATTCTTATACCGTAAATCATCATTGGATTGTTGTACATCCTCGTCTTTCTTACATCTCCCGGATTTCACATGCTTTACACCATTCTTTTTTGCCTGATAGCTGTCCTTGGAAGACCTGATCTTGCATTTCTTACATGTATTTCTAGAATTATCGTAGAAATCATATGAAGGCTTCTTTTTGTCACACCTGTTGCAAATCCTTTTTGGCATATTAGGCTTGGTGGAATACTGCTCTCTCGATACTAGATTTGCTTACAGAACTGGATGTTTTTTAAAAGACTCCATAAAACCCGAGAGGGGGTTGGAACTTTGCAACCGTCTGAGGGTTCTCTACCCCCTTCACGTATATAGTTGATACTTTCTGTTTCGAATATTATGGGCTATACCGCTATATAATATACAATCATATAAGAGACCTGTATTATGGATATTAAGTTGCATTTCCAGAGACTCTTAGATGAGCACTGGTTATTTACAACAGAGAATTGGCCAACACAAGAGATTGCCAATAATCATCGCACTAGTATTAAAGTAGTAGCCCATATCAAGGATGTAAAGGAAACGCTTATGAACAGACTTGGCGCACTACCAGTTTTCTACTTCCTTGTGGTTATTTGGTCTCAAGACATCTATCCTGGTCCATACCGTGAGGTGGAGAAAGGACTATTGCTCTTGTACCACTTGGTTAGCGGTAAAGCAATGGTTGAATTGTCACCCCATATTCCAAAGAGCAGTTTTCATGCTATTCATACAGAGTTCTACAAAACACACAAACGTAAGCATATAAAGATGATATCTAATCATCTGGCTAATATGTTCTCAACATTTCCAATACGGTATATGTGGGCAAAGCTTAACAACCCACCACTATTCCAACATGTCACCTTGCATTTGGATGGTCATGATACTAGACTATCATGTGAAGAAAGGAGGCCATCCATGTTCGGCTCCACCAACCATAGACTACAGTATAAAAATATCTGTCAACACCTATTAAAACAGTGTGTTCCTTGAGAGTACAACAAATCTCATCAGCTTTTTCCTTCCACCAGTCTCCATTTTCTACATTCACCACCACTACTTTGTAACATCATCTACTTTAGCTGAGAAAGCCTTGGACATGATCATCTCATATTGGATCCTGGATATTACAGATAGTAATTTCCTTTCCAATATGAGATGATCATGTCCAAGGCTTTCTCAGCTAAAGTAGATGATGTTACAAAGTAGTGGTGGTGAATGTAGAAAATGGAGACTGGTGGAAGGAAAAAGCTGATGAGATTTGTTGTACTCTCAAGGAACACACTGTTTTAATAGGTGTTGACAGATATTTTTATACTGTAGTCTATGGTTGGTGGAGCCGAACATGGATGGCCTCCTAGTAGAGCATTTGTTTTCGTGTTTATATAATTAGCGATGGTTACTAATATCTCCTTTTCATGATATATCCTATGTGTATATCCAATATAGCACTCGTGATACTGGTGATGATGTAGTGGTAGTTTTAAAAAAAAGTTGGATCACGATTTTTTTAAAAGTAGCATAGTGGCTTTAACAAACATTGGTTGTTGGAAAGAAAGGGTAGATGATACGTTTTTAATGGCGTTATTGCTACACTTTCTCAACAATATTCGACATTCGACATTTGACATTTGGCATTCGATTCGACAGCTGACAAACTGTAGTTATTACCATAGTTATGATATTTGATATGAACGCATTTTGGATGACCTCGTGATTATCGTGATGTTTAATTTTAATACATTCTTGATAAACTCGTAAGTATTACAATGTTTAATGTTGACATACTTTAGGTAAGCCCACGATTTGCACGACGTTTAATATTATTACACTTTGGTTAACTTACAATTGTTATAGCATTTATTGTTATACAGATTGTAGGTAATTACGACAATGGTAAAAACAGAGATATCGCAATTAGACCATGCATTGTGGGTAGTTGTAGATATAACAATTATATCGTTTAAAATAGACGTTTCTTAAAACACATCACATATTTTATAATGCAAATGGCTATTATATTACAACGTTTCTATTGCATTTTGTGTGATAACAAGATAGAAAAAATGTGTTGTTAATAGAGTAATTATGTCGTTAAAAATAGACGTTTCTTAAAACACATCATATATTTCGTGATGCAAATGGGTATGAACATTGTAACATTTCTATCGCATTTTGTATAATAACAAGACAGAAAAATGTATTGTTAACAGAGTAATTATGTCGTTTAAAATAGACGTTTCTTAAAACGTATCACATATTTCGTGATGCAAATGGGTATGAACATTGTGACATTTCTATCGCATTTTGTGTGATAACAAGATAGAAAAAATGTGTTGTTAACAGAGTAATTATGTCGTTTAAAATGGACGTTTCTTAAAACGTATCACATATTTCGTGATGCAAATGGGTATGAACATTGTGACATTTCTATCGCATTTTGTGTGATAATAAGGTAGAGAAAATGTGTTGTTAACAGAGTAATTATGTCGTTTAAAATGGACGTTTCTTAAAACGTATCACATATTTCGTGATGCAAATGGGTATGAACATTGTGACATTTCTATCGCATTTTGTGTGATAACAAGATAGAAAAAAGAAGTTGTTAACAGAATAGTTATGTCGTTTAAAATAGACGTTTCTTAAAACGTATCACATATTTCGTGATGCAAATGGGTATGAACATTGTGACATTTCTATTGCATTTTGTGTGATAATAAGGTAGAGAAAATGTGTTGTTTAAAGAGCAACTATGTCGTTAAAAATAGACGTTTCTTAAAACGTATCCCATATTTCGTGATGCAAATGGGTATTAACATTGTAACATTTCTATCGCATTTTGTATGATAATAAGATAGAAAAAAGAAGTTGTATAAAAAAAAGTTATGTAGACTTAGGAAATGTCCATAAAATATCGTTTGTATAATTTGGTGGTGGAAAGAAAATTGGTGGTTACAAAAAAGTTGTCGTAAAACCGCCATGATGAAGTTCTTTGACATCTGGCCGAGGGGCTTGTTCCCCTATCGTGTTTATCGTTAATAGTTTTAAAAAATCCAAAAGTGTGTTATATAAAGGAATTTTTGCTAATAGTTTACCAGGTTGTAATTACAGTCATGGCAAACTTAAAGCGCCTATTTCAACGGTTGTTAGAGGATGAATGGACTTTTTTGGATGCAGAATGGCCTACGCAAGAACCATCCAATAATCATAGGACTGCGTTGAAGCTAGTAGCACACATGAAAACTGTTAAAGACTTACTTATAAGAAGATTAGGTGCAATTCCTGTATTCTACTTTCTTGTAGTTATTTGGTCTCTCAAGCAGTATCCAGGTCCATACAGAGAAGTCGACAAAGGATTGTTGATATTGTACCACTTAGTTGCAGGCTTGGCAATGGATGGAATGTCAACCCACATACCAAAAAGTAGTTTCCACTCCATTCATACAGAGTTCTACAAGACTAACTATAATGTGCATTCGAAGCATATTAACCATGCACTTGCGAATATGTTCTCCACATTTCCTATACGCTTGATTTCTGCTAAACTCAGGAATCCACCACTATTCCCACATGTAACATTGCATTTGGATGGTCATGATACACGTCTTTCATGTGAAGAAAAGTCTAGCTCAGATATGTACTCTTACAAGCTGAAGAAATCTGGTGTAAGAACGCAAGTGTGTGTCGATTGCAATGGCATGGCAATACTAGTCTCTAAATCGCTACCTTGCAAGGATAACAACGATGGTACTATGTTGGTTG